AGGGTTCACAGTTTTGGAATCCCCGAGATTCCAGAATCCCACTGGATACAGGTTACCATAAGCGGTATTTACTGACCCATCTAAATAATAACTGTAATCACACAAGCACACAAGTTGCTTTTATATTCAGAGTGCAGGTTGACATGTATTTTCTAAAGTTATTGGCTGAAATGCATTTTGAAGTCAGTAAATGGCATCAATAATACATTAAAATGCAAATGATCTTTTAATAAACTACAATATATTTTGTCAAACCAGAAAACTTGTTGCATTCACAAGCTGACTGGTGGCTATAAGGGACATAACAGTCCTAATATCTGAAATTTTGAAGTATCCAGATACAGGTAATCCCCAGTTTGGCACCCAAAGCCATATTTTAGTATCTCGTGCAGTTTAGGATACTGCAAATCTTAGACCCTGATGAACACTACACTGAACACTACACTGAATACTACACCGAGTTTCTGGAACTACCTGATGTCTGAGGCTGAACTAGCTCTTTTTCTATGTCTTGTAAGTCCTCAACTTCTTTAACTATCTTGTCGATCTTATATACAAAAAGCAAGGCAGGAAGAAAGCATAAGTAACAATTAACATAATTATTCAAAATATCAACTTTATTATGTTTGCGATGTTACTCTGAGTGCATATCCACACCGGGCGAGCTTGAAATATATGCCTGGCGACGGTGGGATTCGAACCTACGACCTTTGGAATACTAGCCCAATGCTCTTTCAACTGAGCTACGCGGTCAGGACGGTTCGAGTAAGTGATATTTCGGAACAGTATCTAGTTCCTTCAATACCAATGTGTTCTTGTAATATGAATCTTCTCTGTGCTGGTGTTGCGTACTCAGGTGAATAATATGTTTGTGATGTTACTCTGAGTGCATATCCACACCGGGCGAGCTTGAAAAATATGCCCGGCCACAGTGGGATTCGAACCTACGACCTTTGGAATACTAGCCCAATGCTCTTCCAACTGAGCTACGCGGTCAGGACGGTTCGAGTAAGCGATATTTCTGAACAGTATCTAGTTCCTTCAATACCAATGTGTTCTAGTAATATGATTTTTTTTCTGTGTTGGTGTTGTGTACTCAGGTGAATAACATGTTTGCGATGTTACTCTGAGTGCATATCCACACCGGGCGAGCTTGAAAAATATGCCCGCCCACGGGGGGATTCGAACCTTACGACCTTTGGAATACTAGCCCAAGATCGCCCGGTGTGGATATGCACTCAGAGTAACATCGCAAACATATTATTCACCTGAGTACACAACACCAACACAGAAAAAAATTAATATCAACTTTATTGTTTAAATGCCAGCACTCTCCCCTTGACGAGTAAAATCAACTGGCGTTAGACAGAGTAAAATGATAAACTAGGGCGCATTGGGAGCAATGTGACTCAAAGGTAACATCTGGGGCCTGCTGTTCAAAAGCTGGTGACCTTAGCCCCAGGTTAACAAAATACCACAAAGCGATCTTCCCAACAGCTTGTTATAAACATCGAGATATTTTATGAAATCTGGCCTGGTTGAATAGAAGCTATTTTCTGGAGTTTTTTATAAACGAACATGCAGAAATTCCCAAAGCAATTAAGCAAATCATCGGGTTAAAATTACATGCGTTGACATTAAAACAACCAACCTTGAGGTCCAGCCTTCTGTGTTTCGCTTTCATATTACATAGCTCTTTTCTCTTCTTTTCCTTCTCAGTTGTCAACTTAGAAAGTTCATCATGAAGTGCATCTAAACTGCGGTTTTCCATGACAACTTTCTCCTTCAGTCGCTTTCTCTCTTTGGACAGGTCGCCGATCTTAAAACGTGGCATGGCAATCAACAGCCGCCAGACAGGGTATGTAGATTTCAAATTACAAACAATTGTGCGACTAAATTGGAAAACCAAAACGAAGGCACAACAGATGAACACCAGGGCTTGTCCTTTTTGCATAAGGAATCTACTGATGGCGTGTTGTAAAGAAAATAGACCAAGGGTTAAATCTTGCTTTGTCTGCTATATCGCAGTTTATCTATAAAACGTTAAACATTACAGTTGTGTACAAAGCATCTTTCTAAACGCATACGGCCATGTTTGGTATCAAAATAAAGCTCGTTTCACGTCCTTTCAACGACTGTAGACCAACGTTTATCCGACTTTAATACGTTGCTTCTACGACCCTTTGAAATATGACATTTTAGCGACTCGTAAATTCAATCCCAGTTCCCCGTTTCGAGGCGCGCCAAGATGGAAAAAGTGTTACGCAAGATGTGGCGTTTTTCGCGCCCTTTGTGCCCGGCGTGCTCGTAGTCGAATGGCAAAATAACAGTGCAATGATGGTAATTTCTGATAGCATTAATCGCAGTATGCAATGAATGATGGCGTAACCTAATTGCACCAAGTGGAGTGCAATTTGTATAGGTAATCGCATGGGGCCGAGTAAAATTAAGGTTTAATTTCACTTGTGTTTTCAAAGTTTCACAAATTGCCCGAGTCGCGAAGATTATTTGTTAATCATAGAGGGCAAATTGTGAACTTGTCAAGACTCGTGTTCTTGAACATCGTCTGTCTGTATATATAAAGATGCCAATTCAGATTAGAATCACCTTACGTAAATCACCACCCATAAAAACTGCAAACACTATTTCCCATATTAATAATTCAAACGTCGTTCAAATAACCCCTTTAATTGCTTTTACTCAGTGCACCAAAGATTGTGACAAAGGCATTACTTTGACTGTTTTAAATGTATAATCCTTGAATAATAAAGCCGCGATTTTTAACGATCTTATTTGTGAACATCAACCAGACCTTCTTGCAGCAACTGAAACTTGGTTCAGCGATAGAGAATCTGCACCAAAAACTCAGTGTACCCCTGGTGGCTATAAGTTTTTTGATCATCCCCGTTCTGGTCGTCAGGGAGGAGGTACTGGGTTACTTTTTAAAAACAATCTTCAGGTTGCTAAGGTCGCTGGTGGCGAACGTCAATCATTTGAATACTCGGAATGGAAAGTTAATTCAGGATCACGGCGAATAAATTTAATTATTTTGTACAGACCACCATATTCTGTAGCCCATCCGGTTACCAGTGCTGTATTCTTTTTGAAATTCGTAGAATACCTAGAAATAATAGTTCTGAGTGCAGATCCTCTTCTTATTGTCGGGGACTTTAATATTCATATCGATTCTAATGAAAACTATGATGCTATCAAGTTCTTGGTCTTTTGCAGAGTTTCAGCCTGACTCAACATGTTGAAGTCCCCACACATTCCAGCGGCCACACCTTTGATTTAATAATAACTCGGAAAACTGACAATCTAGTTTCTTCTGTGCCTAGAGCTGTCTGTTTGTTCTCAGATCATATGCCTGTCTTTTGCGAACTTGATATGGGTAAGGTACTTTTTACTAAATCAAAAGTTTCGTATCGGAATCTTTCGGCGATGAATCTGGACGCTCTGAGAGCTGACCTTTTTAACTCTGATCGCTGTAAAAACACTGATATGTTTGATGTAAATGAGCTTGCTATATGTTATAATAAAACACTTGAATCAACCATAAATAGGCATGCTCCATTAAGAACTAAAACGATCGTTACTCGGCCCTATTTACCTTGGTTTAACACTGAAGTAAAATCTGCAAAAAGAGAGCAAAGAAGAGCTGAACGAAAATGGAGAAGAACTAAACAGCCTCATGATTTTCAAATCTACAAATCTAAGAAAAACTATATGATATTTGTAATGAACCGTTCTCGGAAAAAAATTTATACAGATTTTGTCCTGGAACATAGTTCAGATCAACGGAAACTATTTAACGCCGCTAAGTCTCTCTTTCATCAGAGAAATGATCTTAATTTTCCCGCATATGAAAACCAGATTATGTTAGCTAATGATATTGGGAATTTTTCGTGCAGAAAATTGAAAACATTCGAAGTGAACTTGATTTGTCAGCTTCAGACTTGCACAATCGTGTCTTCGATAAATCTATTGCATTGAATGCCTGCTTTGATTCATTTGAGCAATTAAGTGAAGAAGATGTAAAAAATTTGATAACTAAATCAAATGGGAAAACTAGTTCATTGGATCCAATGCCGACTTCGATTGTCGTACAGTGTCAAGATATTCTTCTTCCTGTTCTTACAAGGATGATAAACATGTCATTAGATTCTGGTGTTTTTCCTCCTGAATGGAAGGTAGCGGATGTTTGTCCGTTACTTAAGAAATCGAATTTGGACACTTGCACTGCTTTTGAAAACCTTAGACCTGTTAGCAATCTGTCGTACGTATCGAAGCTTACTGAACGTACAGTCTTCAATCAAACAAACGATTTTCTGAATACACAAAGATTGTATCCTAAAGGTCAGTCGGCATATCGTAAATGCCATAGCACTGAAACGGCTTTGCTACGAGTAACAAACGATATCATGATGAATATGAACCGTCAACATGTTACTCTATTGGTAATGCTAGATCTTAGCTCCGCATTCGACACCGTTGATCATGACATTCTGCTTCGTAGATTGAATCATGAATTTGGAATAAAGGGGCGGGTTCTAGAGTGGTTTACTTCTTATCTCAGTAAACGTTCTCAATTTATTTCAGTCAACGGTGACCGATCTAGACTTTTTGATGTATCATGTGGAGTCACTCAGGGATCATGTTTGGGTTCCCTACTATTTGTACTATATGTTAGTAAACTGTTTAACATTGTGGAAAAACACCTACCTGATGCTCATGCATTCGCTGACGCTTCACAACTCTATGTATCGTTCAAACCAGATTCGACCTGTGATCAACTTGCTGCAGTTGCTGCCTTATAGAACACGTACTGCATTGATGATATAAAGGATTGGATGCTCTCTGATAAATTAAAGGTTAATGATGGTAAAACAGAATTTCTAATCATTGGAACTCGGCAACAACTAGCGAAGGTCAACTTTAATTCTTTGAGAATTGGCGACAATTCTATCAACTCGATCGACAAGGCAAAGAATTTGGGATTCTGGTTTGACTCGCAGATGAAAATGGTAAGTAACATAAGCAATTGTTCAAGTGCTGCATTTTTTAACATTTTTAACATTAGACGGATAAGGAAATTCCTCACCTATGAAACTGCGAAAATATTGGTCAATTCGTTGGTGATAAGTCGATTGGACTATTGCAATACCTTCTTTATGGTCTCCCAACAATTCATCTTAACAAGCTCCAGCATGTCCAAAATGCCGCAGCTAGACTGATCAGCAGTACTTCACGGTTTGATCACATCACCCCGACATTGATGAATCTACACTGGTTGCCGGTAAAGTCTAGAATAGACTTTAAACTGCTATTAATAGTTTTTAAGGCATTGCATGGGCTGGCACCTGATTACTTAATTGAACTAATAAATATTAAGTCTCCATCTAACTATAATATTAGATCGAACAGAGAAGTTCTTCTTGAGCCACCTTCTGTGAAGACTTTGGCCACGTTAGGTGATCGATCATTTGCCTCCGCGGCACCCATACGCTTTGGAACTCCTTACCTTCATATATCCGAGAGGCTAGCTCTGTTGACAGTTTTAAAAGACTTTTAAAGACATACTTATTTAAGAAAGCCTACATGTAAATAAAGTTCGTAATTTAGGTTAATTTTAAAGACATAATTTTAACTAAATAGTTCTAACTAATTTTATATTCTACACTGTAAAAACTGATTGGTTAAAATGACCAATTTTTTAGGTTGCAACCATTGGCAATTGGTCATTTTGACCAATTGTTTAATTAGTTAGCCGCATTTGACCAATTAAATTTGGTTCCTTTGACTATTACAAATTGGTCGAAAGAATTGGTCATCTTTCGACCAATTTATATAAGTTATTATAACCAACTTTTTATTGGTCATTTAGTTGAGTGTTCACTGTTAATTTCAAGGAGTTATTTCAACTCCACTGAGAATTAAAAATTGGGAGTGAAAATTTTGAAGTTAAATTTACTCGGCCTACGTCTTCGATATATGCATTCGAACATATACTCCACTGAGGGTCAATTTAACTCCACTTAAAGGAGTAAAATTATATAACGGAGTAAATTTTACTCACAAACAGAATAACGGAGTAAATTTTACTCATAATCAAAATAACCGAGTAAATTTTACTTCATATTTTTTACTTGACAATTAATCGTATAGTAGGAGTAAAAATATCGAGTAATATTCCGCCTAGTTTTTACTCGGCCTGTGTAATATAACTCGACCATTACACATAGGAATCCATAGGAATGGCTGAAACTATATTGAAGTTTCTTCAACCTGTCCTTGAATTAGGGCGATCAGTTTGCTATACAAATTCGTATAGTGAAAGCCTGCAGTTTGTGTAAAATCATCCGACAAAGACACAAGATCTAGCTGGTTGACGCGCTTTTTCGTAAATGTTGCCAAGTCAGATTGCTTTTAATATTACCAGTATCGGCTTCTTATTGTTCAATCGCGCGCGACGATCGAGTTTTTCTCGTCAAATTAATTTACTGTCATTGCTCTCAGTATATCAGTTGTTTATTTTTGATTTGCTGCGTAAATCTGTAATTTGAACTTGTGGAATGTCCTGCTGCTGAATTCTGCTGAATATAATTTGCGCCAAGTGGAAGTTTCAACGTTTCAACCAATTACCAGAGGAGGAGTGAGGACTATACCGGCATGCAACGCGGTCAGGCGCGGTTTTTTACATATTATCGATTTCTCGCTCTGCGCCGTCATTGTTCGGTCGGCTTTCGCTGTGTTTACACCTCGAGGTTTTAAAAGATTCGGAAAAGATTTATCGAAAAAAAATTGTAAAATGGTGGATTTTTGCACTATGCATGGAAAGAAAGCTTCGTTTTTGGGTGGATACGAGCTTCTGTGTGTTCACTGTGTGTCAAAACAGCCTTTAATCTTGATTCCGGAAGAATTACCGTGTGATGAACTTGAATGTCGTGAGGACGTGAGGTTCATGTTTAATTGTTTATAGTTTTTAATACAGATAGTTCGAAGAATAGTCCTTTGTCCAGCTGTGGTTAACGGGATAAAAATTGATGAAATGTTTGCTGATGCGGTAGTCCTCCACTGGTACAAATTCACTCTAGTTGTGTTTTTAAGGTGAGATGATTTTTATATAAAAATAGAAATATAAAAATGCTCCTATGTTGTTGTTGTATAAATACAGCAGTATTAAACGTATTTTTATTTCATATCATGTAGTTCTTCGACCCTAATGATCTACGGGAAGGAGGTATAAACAAAGAATATAGCAATGTTATGTTGTGGGAGTTTGACATTTCAACATCACCAACATCCCAAGCAATCCCACCATGTGACCCAGCAACCTCATTCCCAGTAGAAGATGAGCTGGATAGTGTACTTCCACCAATAGAATTACATCAGCCAACTGATTGTATAACTGTTTTAATTTACCAATAAACCCTGTTTGCCCTGACAGACATTCATACACACCGAATGATGGAAGAAGCGCCCAGTGGTAGCATTGTTGTAAAGAATGAAATGGAGGAAATTCAACACTATCGCAACACTATATATAAATGTATTGACTACTGTGTGATGCATTGCAAGGATTTATACTGATCAACCAGTTATCTATGCTCAAATGATCAACCAGTTGTCTATTATTTTACTCTGCCTAACGCCAGATTATTTTACTGTCTAATACTAGACTATTTACTCATCAGGGGGAGAGTGCTGACACTCAATGGGTTAAAAAACATTGAAAGAAAATGTTTAGCAGAAGCTGAAAAATTGTTTATTGGTGTCTGGTGTAATACTGATATTTCTTTTATTTGTAAGGATAGAGCTGGGGAGCTTCTAATGGTACAGTCTTGGCCCTACCCCAGTTTTTCCTGTACTGCATGTGTTTTTGTCACTTCCCTGATTATACCATAAGTATTGTATCCCATGGACACCATCTTATCAGTTCTGCAGTTTTTTGACAATCTACTGTAAACCTCCACCTAAAAGCACTGGGCTTATATTCTTTCGTAAGCAATTTTTGATGGGCTTACACAAGGGGGGGGGGCTTATACACGGGGAGGGGGGCTTATATTCAGAGGTTTATGGTATGTATGGTTTTCATGATTTTCAGTGTATAGTCTTCCCTTGCTCATCACAAATTAATAAAAAGATACACACTACATAATTGATGTTGATAAAATTTATTTATTTTAAAATCGAAAAAATATTAACATAATATTGCTGTACTTAAAGATAATTAAAATGTTTTTAAAAATAAAATTTTATGCACACAATTTTAAAATATTGCACACATTCATTTCACCAGTACACATGGATGCTATATGATAAAGTATATGAAAGGTGATGCTTTTGCTCTAGCTTAATGATGTATTAAAACAATCTAGAGGTATTACATAATTGGTAAACTTCTTCAATTGTAATGATTTGCATGATTTTCTGCAACAGATATGAATTCAATGAATGCTTTATCTTCCTTAAATGTCCATTTATGAAGTTTAACTGGGAATTTCTTTGGAGGAGTCGTTTAATCTTTCTGATAAGAAACTACAAAACAAACAGCAAAAGTGAGAGGGGCAATGTTAGTGCCAGCACAATTAGACAACAACAAATAAACTCATGGATTTTTACCAGGATTGTGTGCATGCTTCTCCAGGAAATTTGTGTACTATAGGTTTTCTGGAATGCTCAGCATTGAAAAATAATGTTGGGGTACGGGTGGATAGAAATTGCCCAACATTGTCATGAGTTTGTGAACAAGAGGTATAAAATAGAAGGAATACATCTCCTATACAGACTAGCAGAAATACTGTTTAAAGTCAATCTTAAAACAATTGCCCAATTTTTAAAGCAGAATTCTGCCCAACTAAACACTGACTGGAGGGGTTGCAACCCCCCCCCCAGTCTCATATGCCTATGGACAGAAATTCTCCCAGGCAAAAAAGCATTAAAATACAATGTTACTGTCACTATGATAATAACTCAAGCCCCCATTATTAACATATTGTTTCATTAAAAATATACAATGTTTTTGTGTAATCATACTGTATTTTTAATATGTTTGTAAAAACATTTGTACTTTTAAATACACCTTGGCTTTGGACTCTGAAACAAAGTTCGGCTTAATGTTGAATTTTTCAAACGAGAAATTCTGTACGTGTCTTTTATTATTAGGTTTCCCTGGGGGAAATACGTACGAACATATATGCGTATGTTTCAAAATTATCATGGAAAATAGTGTTTATCAGTACAATAATTTCCTTCGCGCCATGATGATTATCAGGCGGTCTATTCCCGCCATCGGCGATAGAATATAGCAAAAGTACCCCATTTTCAACTCGTCGGTTTAGTGGAGCAAATTCATGTTTTAAAGTAACAGTAGAAAGAATAAATCTTCCCGAATTCGATGACGTGTTTTGTTTTTATTTTCCTAAAAAAAAAGTGAATTTGCTTCTGCATTATATCAAGGTCATTTTATTGGCGTGTCCACTGACCCGGAACAAGCATAATTACAATACGTAATTAGCATAACTAAAAAGCAATTCTTGTACCAAATAAGTAAAAAATAGTTTAATTAGGTTCTTAAATAATACAAATATAAAAACATACCTTCGAAAAAACGAGATATACGATGCCAAAATCGCAATGTATTTCAACAACTTTTCGCCAAAAGTTCGTTGGAAATCGTAATTGTGAATAATAATGAGACGCAATGCATTGTGGGAAGACCCTCATTCCTCCTCTGCTACGATGTTATGTATTTTTTATCGCTATAATTTATACTACTAAGTACTATTATGAGACAAATCAAATTTTGCCGAAAAATACCAATTGAAGTTGAAAGTTATTCACAGAATGGCGATTAGCTGCAAACTACTGTAAAATTATTATTATTGCTGTATAGATTAAAGTAAAGATAAAGGACAGATCTCAGTATACGTCGCAGCCGTAGTCAATGTCAATGCAACTAAGATCGTTTTATACGATGGATTGAATCGTTTGCATGAAAGGACAAAAATTCTGCCAAATGGGCGATGCGGAAAACTTTTAACAGAATATAATAACAAGTTCATGTATTTATTAATTCGATGCGACGTTACGGCAACACACATTTTCGACATTGGCATTGTACACCTCAGGGCCGTAGCAACCGGGGGGGGGGGGGCTGCAGCCCGCCCCCCCCAATAATTTCCTAATAATCATTCTTTTTTCAAAATCATGCAGACCTTTATCATTTAATCCATGACTGCAAAGAATGAAGATATTACCCATATTTTCCTGCAACTTATCCAATATATAGTTAATTAAATACGCATTCGGCCATTTAGTACTACTAAATTGTAAATTTCGACATACTAAAACGCTGTTTTCTGACTATCAGAATTCTGTCAAATCTTCCCCAAAGTCCAGGAAATGGTATTTCAGAGACTCTAAATTTAAAAATTTCCTCGGGCCTTCGACCCTCGCTTTCAGCCCCCCCCCCCAATCGAAAAGAGCTTCCTACGGCCCTGTACCTGTCCGGTCATGAGGGATACAACGTCCTAGACGAATTTATTTCTTCTGACCGTTTTGGACCTCAAAGATCCATCACATTTCATCGATCGAATTAAACTTTTCTGAGTTAAATACAATGATTGTGCAATATATTAGTCGCTATAAAAACTCCGCGAGCAACCTTGAACGTGTTTCCGGTTATCACAAAGGTAAACAATATAGCTATTTATAGCAAAAATTTATGAATTTTGCACTCCTTCATATTCCTTTTGCCGACAAGTTTTATTGCGAATAACATAACTTTAAGTATTCTACTTTAACCCTAAAAGTGTTTTAGACACCAGGTAGGTTGCACTTTTGAGAATTTTTAGTTTGAATTTTATACCTAATCATTAGTTTTTCGGCGAACGAAAATACCGACTTCCTTGGATGGAGACTAGTAGGCTTAAAATAAGATGTACATTCAAATTCTCTCAACATTCTAAAAGAAGAAGAATATGTCTCAATACGCTGAAAAAAGTTTTTAATTTGACGCGAAACTTCCCGAGTTATGATGCACAATTTAACACATATTTGACCGCCGTTTTCGGGGTCAAATTTCAGTGTCGCTGACGTCCAGACAAAAATTCGTCATAACTAAAAAAAAAAGAAAAATTTAGAAATTCTAATATTAGTTTAATACCTTTTAGGACAAAGGTAGTTCATGGTAAAAATATAAAGGAAATCTAATTTTCAACCTGAAACTCTCTGCATGGTTCTTAGTGAGACAGCCACTTAAGTGTCGCAAAACAACAGAAAGTACACATTTGCGATCGCAATTCGCAACGTCGTATGTTGGACTTATTTTGACAATTTCGACTGTTATTGAGACTATTGAAATTGATTTCATCCTAAATAGTGTATTCCTGACATGGAATCAATTTTAAGCAAAGATTTGCGGGTTGATAGGAGATATTTTATTACTGTGTGCTTTGACTATTGGCGAATTTATATATCTATATATTTCAAGCAACATGAATCATGATTTCTCAATTTTGACCGATGCATTCGCATCGCTGGCATAGGTCTGGATCCGCCCCTGCTGCTGTTATATTTTGGTCCGGTTTGTCGTGATATGATATCCCTGAAATTGGCAAAAATTCGCAAATAATTCGCCCTCCGATTTATTGCATGAAATTTAGCTCAGATAAAAAATCTGATTGCAACATTTTGTTGGTACCAATAATCCAAAAGGAAGTATTTTAATTTTGCAGTCTCATATTAGTTTGAAATTTGAGTCACACCTTTAGGGCGCTTTTCACATGCGAATTTGTTCCATGCAGTACTCAGTAGTTTTTTTGATGAACTCGAAACAAACTGTTTCAATTTTTTTATCAAATAAAATGTTTTGGTCATAAGTTTTTTGTTTTAGATTTTTCTGGTAGTTTTATCTCCTGTTTGGAATTGTCTGGCTGTATATTGTTCTTATGGCTGTATATTGTACTTATAGCCTACTATAAGTAAGAGTTATAAACCGAGTAGGAGTTTATAACTGATATATTGCCCCCGAGGACGCGTAGCGTCCGAGGGCAATATATCAGTTATAAACCGACATTCGAGGTTTATAACTCTTACTTATATCACAATTGTGGAGGTTTTCTAACATATTTTGTCATTTTCAAAAATTTTTGATGAAAAATTCTCGCGTTTTGTCTACAAGTTTCATCTACTTATTTATTCAAGGTATATTAGCTAGTTTTAAACCTCGGACGATCAAAGAAAACCGACACAAATGTGATATAAGCATGGATAAAAAACAAAGATCCATGGTATGGGTATATATGTATGTATAGCTTCGCAATCTCATCTTTTTAGGATGGTCATGGAGAACAAACTTTTAACTATTTGAATAAAAACAGTGTTCAAGAAAAGTGTTCAAGATTGCTCGGCGCAATGTTGAATAAATCCTGGCCGCTGGAACTAAAGGAAGGCAGCCAGTTGAATGACAAGGAGAAAGAAAAAATTTTGCTCAACCATCTTCTCACATGGTCAACATGGCCCGGGTTCTTAAAGTTCTTCGGTAAGGAATTTTCGAAGTAGATACATCACGGTCAAAAACAAAAAGTGTTTCACTTCCGCTTCTGTAATTGATCTGTTGTCATGCAGTTACTGTCATTTGTTCTGTTTTTTTTTTGCAGAGGATACTGATTTATATTAGCAAATACCGCGATAAAATTTAAGTTGTCCAACTTAAATGCTTTAAATGTAACAAAAAATGCATCCTTGTCTTCAAATTAAATATAAAAGAAGAAAACTAAACTTTATCACGGCATATTTGCCGATAAATCAGACACTTTCTGTATACTGAATCTAAAAATAGCTGCAAAAGATGCTCAGTATAAACATGTTAGCACTTGCGTGACGGTTTATACCAGACAGAGTAATAAATATAAGCCTTATAAGTTCCCATATGTTTGTTGGAAAAACGTTTTGAGCAAGTCACGTCAGAAGTTTATTAGTATTATAGAGTGGTCCCATATGAATTCAATTTTATAAATTGGATAAAATTAATATTAATCTTAATATTAATTAAAATTCGAGGGCGAGCATTAAATTTATGCATTTTTGCTGCAATTATTGGTTATATATATATAGTAGTTAACAGAAATAAATTGGCAGTTTTGAAAAGGTTACTTTCGTCGCCTCATTGGTAAATTCGTATTGATTGACTAATCAAATGACCGGAAAAACAAGCTATTGCCGTTTGCGTTGATTTTATTTTGTCATTTGTTGTTGTTGAACTTTATTTAGGCACGGAAGCTCTTCATGCACAGGCGCCGTGTGTATTTAAATTATTTACAATAACATACCTATTACTATTGACAATTTATTTTTGAAAATTTTTAGTGAGTAGTTGGATTTCCTTATTTCAGTTGGCATTGAATTCCATACCACTGCTTCATTATACGCAGGGCTGTTTTTTTAAAAAAATGGTGTTTGGTTTAGGAATGACAAAATTGTGGTCATGACCTTATAGCTCGTGTATTATGGCTATGAAGTGTGTTATAGCTCGATTCATTAAACGGACTGGAAAGATATGATGGGCCTAACTTTAAATATTTTACACATGAAGCAAGATTTTTGTTTCATTTACTTATCTTTTAATATCGTCCAATATAGGTCTTAAAATCTGCGAAGAGCGTATTTCGTAGTTGCTCCTACCAATAGTCAATTCTCATTATAGACTAATTTTACTAGGTAAGGAGATGCAAATAAATCACCACAGCTAGAAAGAGCATACTAAAATTAGTAAAATGACAATGTTTGGTTACGAAATGTTGGAATATGAGGAAAATACATCCTTGCGAAGTTTGCAAATTTTGTATACTTTTGTAGTGCGTGCGGAAATTCCTACCACATTCCTACCACATTTGGGGCCGAAAATGGTAGCAATTTCCGCATGCGCACGTCATACAAAAGTATACAAAATTTTCAAACTTTGCAGCCTCATTTTCATGTTGAACAAACACATGTCCGAATTAAAGCCCCCTTAACACACTTAGCAACCATATTTGAAGCTGGAAACAGCGATATTCTTAAAAAGAATCACAACACGGTAATTTTAAGCCCTGTTTCCCGCTTCTACTCTAAATGTCCATCGAACGCGATATTTTTGAGAACTGCCACCAGACTAATATATTTTCCGCATTTTACAACATTTCGCAACCAAACTTTGCAATTTTACTAATTTTAGTATGCTCTTTCTAGCAGTGGTGATTTATTTGTATCTCCTTGCATATAGTTTTGAAATTAGTCTATATAATGGGAATTGTCTATTATTCGAGCTGCTCGATTTTGTATTTTTTGTAGCTTATGCTTATCCCATAAACCTTATTACCACATCTATCCCAGGCAAAACTGCAATAATCGAAATGAGGCGCCCGGAACGATATACTATAGTATATGTCAACCAGTGTGTTAATTGGCAGCAGATCACAAATACGTCTTGACATTCCATTCCTAGGGCTTGGACACTTTTTTGGAAAAAATTTACGTGTCTTCGCCACGATAAATTTTCATCAATCACATAAACCCAAAGGATTTTCTGCAACTACTCGCTTTACGATGTGTCTTCCGATAAATCTGAGGATCTGATGACAACTTACTTATTCAAACTTTGGAGCCAATACTCGCTCTTTAAGACATTTACGCCCGTATTCTAAAGCTCACTCACACTCAATGAGTGGGAGTTCCATCTGGGCTTCTCTTGAGTGTCGATGCTTTTTTGACTAGCTGGAGGGTGAGAAGTCACATATTAAAGTTTCACACTAACCCCCAGCTATTCAAAAACAGCAACGACACTCGAGAGAAGTCGTTCAGATTGACATTCCACTCATTGAGTGTGAGTGTGAGTGTGAATATGAGTGAGCTTTTAGAATACGGGCGTTAGATTTAATGTATTTGCTTACAAGTTATCTAGATCTTTTTATATTAATTGTTTATATTGATTTCGTTTATTGATATCCAAACATGCTAAGCAATGTTGCTGATCAAGGTAAAAGGGAACGAATTTTACTTTTTCGCAGTGATTTTTGCGATTCTATAACATGAACTATATACTGTATTTTTTATTTTTCAAGGGAGCAGCTCCAGTAGTAAGGATAAATTAACAAAACAGGGTGCCTGCAGAATGATCATGGCCCGTGCAGAATCGTGCCTTGATAATCTAATAAAGTCTGTCGAGAATGGGAATGTTACAGTTGGCACACTCAAGGTCTTAGAAAAACATTCCAATCAATTTTTAAAGCTGGGTGAGATACACCAAATGAACCGAAAAGTTTCAGTATCAGTAAAGAATTATTTTTCACAACGACTTCGTGAACTGAAGGAGTTTTTCACATTGAGAGACCATCTGGAATGTTTTATTCGCTTCAACGACAAATTCACTTCAGGTATATCACTCACCAATTACATATTTTCAGAGTATTCCAAATAATATATTTTTATAACTATAATAAGGCATTAGCATCCATTATGTCTTTTCTTTATTGTCTGCATCCCCATGCTCAACACATTTTTAATATATATATATATATGTTATTTACCGGCTGGGAGGTCCGTACTCAAAAACTATTTTCCCGAGGTCTTCTGAGGTCGAGGGAAAATATTTTTTAGTGCATTGGTTACTTTAGTGCAAGCATGGCTGACAAACTTCGATAAAAGCTGGATAAAAAGCTTTTAGTTTTATTGCAATACATGCTTTTCTGCTCAACAAGAAAACAGAAGGTAAACTAAGTAAAACGATTTATTTTCCGGTTCGTTTTACAGCATGGACATGCTTGAAAAATTGCTTTTCGACAGAAAAATACAAATTTTAGTTGCCGAAAACTATTTGTTTATTACAACATTTTATTACAACATAAGTCCAGGAATTGTACCTAAACTGCCATTTATGGTATTTTTTAAAATTTTATGTTTAAGGACAAGTTGTACGTTGTACTATTTATATTTATACGTTATTTTTGAAGAATAGTTGAATATATGTGGAACATTTGAATCAAAACATGTAGCACTGGCCAGTGTTTTTCGTTGTTTATATATGTTTTTTCGCCGTTTGGTCGGAGAAAAGTAAATTTCGGGATTGGCACTAAATGCAATGAAGCCAATTCACTGTATTTTACTGTCTTTATTATCGATAGGGTGGATTTTGAAACTTTTTGGGTAGTGTTTTGAGTTTGAAAATTGTTGTCACTCCTCGGTTCGTCCCTAAAAAATAACTCTTTTGGACCACGGTGAAGATAACGTAAAAAGCTGGCCGCTGCTGCAGCCAATCAGATTACAGGAAATCAAAAAATATCACTAGGCATGCACAAATAAAAAAATAAATATTCTTATTGGAAAATTAATGTAGCTTTTTCCAAAAATCAATACACTTATAGATGCAATGAAAAAACAGTTAAATGGTGAGATTTTGATAAAGCTATGCATTAAACTGTACTTATAGCTATATATGCATGCAAGAGGATTTTTTGCTTTGACACAAAAATTTGTACACTGTTAAAGTGCTCATGACATGAATTGTTTGCCTTAATTTTACTGTTTTACTAGAAAGTACCCTACAAGGGATGAAGAATGGTGGTTACAGTTTTTTCATATCTTATCTCAATCCAGAGTTAGGACAATTTTTGTAATTTGAGCTATGACGTCATAAGCTGTACTAAAAGTTGCAAGAAAAACGTAAAGTGGAATATCTCCAAGATGATTTGAGCAAATGAATTGAAACTTTGCACATTTGTTGAGTGCAGTCACACATACATTGTGGTGTGTTTATCTTGTTGTCAAGGCAACGCCATAGTTTCCAGTCCCTTTTCTTGCATAAGCTTAGTTTTATATTTCCAACAACAAAAGTGGCTATTTCTGTTGTTTTCATTGCTTATGTTCTTTATGGGAACATTTTAGTACTTGTCAACTAAAAACAGGCGCTTTTCTTAGCCAGTATACAGCAGGAACTGTGTGACTTGATGCACGCAGACTGGGAACTAGTGCGTTGCGTTGGCAACCACACAAACATACCAAAATGTATGTGACTGCACTCAACAACTGTGCAAAGTTTCATTTCATTTGCTCAAATCCTCTTGGTCATATTCCACTTTCATTTGGGGTTTTTTGCAAACTTTAGCACAACTTATGACGTCATAGCTCAAATTACAAAAACTGTAATAACTCTGGATTGAGATTAGTCCAGTCCCAGACCCTCTTCTGGCCGCACGGCGCGGCGGAGAAGCAGGGTCCAGAAAAATTTGCATGCGCATGCGTCAACTTGCCCAATCAAAACGCTCGCGGTTGACTTCCGGAAAAGGGAAAACCCTTACAACTGTTCAACGCGCGCTAAAACGTAAACAACTCAAAGAAATATAAAATTTATGTCAACCGAAGTTCGATGTCGAATATACAAGGGACTATGTCGGAAGGTGATTATACACCAAAGCGTTTCTCTTTTTTATAAAGGCATATAGTTTGTCCATCAGAAGAGATAAGCCTGAACTGGACTGTCTCGCCGTTGCTGCCGAAATTGCAGAAATAATGCAAATAGGGCCGTAGAAAATTAAACGTTATAAAGAAAATATTAGGCCCCGAGAGAAAAGAAAAACAATACAAGTCTCGCCAAATTCGATTATATCCACCACCATAAATATCCACCATCGAAAACAGCGCGTGTTGACGAAAGAAATTGTCGATTTTCAGCCAGATCATTGCAGTTTTCCAACGACAAAGATATTTAAATGTTGACCCCATAGATATCTTATATACACTAGATAGCGCATCTCTTTTAGTAAAATTGAAGCCAAGAATATTCCAGCGGTTACCCCCATTTGAAAAGATGGCGGCCATGTTGGTCGTTCCCACTTGCTAACAAACGCTTAAAAACAACAATAACTTTCATCATTTGAATACTTTAAAAACGTATTTGGCATAGGGTTAACTTCATGTTTAAGTTCCGTGTTTAAGAAATAGAAAATATACGAATCTTCTCATTTCATGGGAACGACCTGAGACTGCAATCACGGCTTCAATTTTTGAATTGCAGAATAATTAGATGCACTATCTAGTGTATATAAGATATCTATGGTTGACCCGAACGTTTGTGGTCTATAAGTTGTGACTATTTTAACAAACATGCAAAACTGCTGTAATATTAACAAAAAAACGAGAAATATGCAACTACGTAACTGAAATCGGTGTTTAAAATATTGCTGGTATGATATCCAAAAAATGTTCAAGTTGCAAATACTATATTGTTATATTTAGAAAGTATAAATTTGTCCATTACAGCGTATTCCTTGTTCGGCCATTTTAGCCATCTGATCATCCATTAGGGAAATCAGTGGTGAAATAAAAACAACAACAGATGACCGGCAATCGTCAGATAATGATCACAAAGCATCGCAAACATTATGGAAAGAGCGTGTATTAGCAACGAGGAATACATCTTTACCGCGGGACATGTAATAGATCACTTGCAATTGCTCAAACTTTGGCACAAAATTATATTTACACCGTTTCCATGGCAAACTTAACGGCATCAACGAATTTTCTGCCAAAAATATGGAGAAATTTCTTCTCAGTCAGCACTACACGAGTATCCGAATTTTGCTTCGACATTGCGTATTTTTCCTTATAGTAAACAGAGCTTAGCGACCTGGCGACCTCCACATATATGTGCATGGTGGTAGTTGACGCATGCGAATGCATATTCTTCTGGACCCTTCTTCTCCGCCGCGCCGTGCGGCCAGAAGAGGGTCTGGGACTGGACTAGATTGAGATAAGATATGAGAAAACTGTAACCACCATTCTTCATTATTTGAAGGATACTTTCTAGTAAGGCAATAAAATTAAGGCCAAAAAATTCATGTCATGTGCACTTTAATTTCAAGAAGTTAAGTTTAACTCCCAGTACTCAGTAGAGTTGTTTTGAATCTAATTAACTTCTAAGTAATTTCACCTAAGTAAATTGAACGTAAGTAATTTTAAAGAACAGAGAATGTGGTTCTTTTCAAAGATGCAATAAAATATGGTCTTTCAACTTTGGGTACGAGGAATTGAGAGAACCACAACAGGATGAGTTTGAAGCGTATGATAAAATCGACAACTTTTGTGAAATTTACATCCGCATTAACCTCTGAGCCATTCCGCTTGGCTATTTACACCCGGGAAAATAAACGCCTTAGCGAAGTCAAAGTTTCTCAAATGTATGGCGAATTTCGATTAGGAGGGATCAGTGGAATGAGTGAGATTTGAAGAAAACATCAACGAGAAACCCGAAAAATGTTTAACTGGACGAAGCAGCCAAACAGTTTATTTGTTTTTGCTTCATAACAAAACATCAGGAGCAATATATTGCTGGATACTGTAAAACCTAAAGGCCTGATTCCACCGGTGTTTTCTTTGGTGAAATGTGAAAAATTTGGCGCCAAATGATAATCCATTCGCAGTAAAAGATAAATTTGGCTTCGCGAGAAAAAATTCGCTTCACCACTGAGTAGAAGTCTGATCTACTCACTGCGAAAGCGGAAAAAGTGTGAAAATTCAATGGAATCGCTCATGTGCAACTATATCCGCATTTCACAGACACAATTTCTCACGAATAATTTCGCCGTCGCGGAATCAGGCCTTAAGGTATGTTTGCTTTTAAAATCGATGTAGTGTTTGCCTTAAAAAAGTGATGTTACCTTGTTAAAAAGCCAACGTATTCATAAATACCCTTTTTATTAACTTAGATTATTAAAAACTTTAAATAAAGAGGAAAACAACGTTATTTTGATGAGATAATTGCATTATTAATTATTAACTAAGAAAGTTGTATTTAGTCAGACCCATTCTCACATGATGCCCACTTATTATATCCTGAGCTACAATCATTTTATCGTCGATATCACAGCACTGAAACCGCACTGCTCAAAGTTACAAACGATATCCTGCTAAAAATGAACTCGCAAGAAATTACTCTACTGATTACACTTATTGATCTAAGTTCTGCGTTTGACACTGTCAATCACGAAATATTGCTTCGCCGTCTCCAAAATGAGTTTGGCATTCACGGAAAAGTCTTGGATTGGTTTAAATCATACCAACCTCGTTCCCAGGCTCTTTGCTCTTGTGAAGCAAAGACCCTGGTCGGGGCTGGTCACGTGACCCCGCAGGGAGGGGTGGTAGAGGAGTCTGTTTGTTGCGTTTGGAAAATTGCAATTTTATGTGTTATAGTTTCGGGTGATAAAAATGTAATTTGCAACAAGAAATCGTGAAAGGAATAGTTTTAAATTCGTATTCATCATGACACAACTTCCTGCTATACTGAATGTCATCAATTATAAGTGTTGCGGTACATTTCAAGCAAGAAGCTGGATCATATTTCACTTCCAAGGACTCCACACGCGCCTGGCTTGCGAAGTTGAGCACGCATCGCCGTAGAAACATATATGACTTCTCAATTCTATACCGACTGATCGATCAAACGATACTAAATGAACGATATGGCATCTGATATTGGTCGCGATATAGACAGTTCAAAATCACTTCTAACGGATAATACATTGACCTAAAATGAGCAATTGCTTTGAATTACAAAAGAACAAACTCATCTGGAATGGCGACTTAAGCGAATTAAAGTCCTACGTCGCAGAAAAGTTAAACATAAATGGTAAATGGAAATCACCGTCAGGTGGACGCTGGTTATTTACTAGCGATGCTTTGTCTATAACCTGGTATTGTAAAAGCAAAACTGTCTTATTTCAAGGTCCTCGTGGCAGCGAAGTGGCTGACTCTTTGAAGAAAAATATCGATGCATCGCGAATTGCAATAGTGAAAGATGCCGAGCTAATCATTGCTACCCCTGCTGTTTCCGAAAGACGGAATGAATCTATCGATAATCAGTGTAGTCTCAGTATTAACAATTCTAACTCGAACATGTTTGACAGATCTAGTAATACAACAACAACTATCAACCGAAGCGACTCGGATGCTAGCGAAGGAAAAGCAAATGAGCAAGAAATGTGTTCACACAAGCAGAACGAAGGCGATTATATAATGAATTGCAAAGACTGTAGTAAATTATCTGTAGAAGTAGCAGAAATTAAATTGGACTTGGCATTATTATTCCTAAAAGTTAATACTGCTGAAGCTCCCGCTACATGTGAATGCAATCGGCTACGAAACGAAAATCAGCTATTGAAACAAGAAATTAAATTACTCAAGGAAACACTGCACGGCATGGAATTGTCAAAATCGCCAATTAACATTGCTATCGATAATATGAATAATCAACCAACCATCACTGACAATGACTCTGTTATACTAATTGATATAGAAGAATCTGAAGTTAACGTAAACACTAATATGAATAATTTACCATCTGCGACATACAAAGAGAAACAATATAATACCCGAGGGCCAGTTGTTAATGACTCTCTTATGAAATATAGAAATCCCAATAAACCAGTCGTCCAAGACTCCCTGACCTCATTCGACCATCTCCTAAAAGAAAAGGCCGCCTTAAACGCCAACATGCATCGTCATAAGAGGAATCAAGTGCATAATTCTCCAACTAACAGAACGCATTTCTCGAAACCTAATTACCGGCGCAATCAGGCCGCCTTAAACGCCAACATGGATCGTCATAGGAGGAATCCAATGCATAATTCCTCAACTAACAGAACGCATTTCTCGAAACCTAATTACCGGCGCAATCAGTTTTCCGAGCCTAAACATCAATATCGTCAAGCAAATTTTCCCTCAAAGATTTTTCGAAGCGGTCGCTATCGGTGGATTCCGAAACCAAGAACAACAGCAGACAATACAGATACAAGAGCAAGTCAAATCAACCCGGCATACAAAGTGAATCCTTTCCAATCAAAGTCAGAGTTACAGCTTGGAGAAACGGAGTCCTGGGAAGCTTACCTACAGCTGGTCAACCGCACCTTGGACCAGTTTGGAACCCTCGTTTAGGCGCAATCCAACGGACAAGTGATAATTATACATCTCAGAGACGTGTAAATTTTAATAATTTAATTAACATTAAGACTAATACAAACCCCACCATTGGAAAGTCCTCAGTCCCGTCCTTCCTCTTGTCAAATGTATGCCATATAACAAATAAGGTAGACGAATTAGCTGCTGTTGTATCGATCTATGACCCATCCGTGGTAATGATAACTGAATCTTGGCTAAGTGATGATATCGGTGATTCCTCGGTTAAGATCGGTAATAAATACAACATATTTCGTCGCGATAGAAAGTCTCCTGGCGGTGGAGTGATCGCCTACGTGAATAATTGTTTACCAGCAGAGCGTATGACTCACCTCGAAGACGAAAACAAAGAAGTGATATGGTTGTTGTTAAAACCCCCAAGAACCCCTAGACCTTACAGTACAATCGTTGCTGCTGTTGTGTACTACCCTCCTGGTCAATCCGCCGAACAAGCAATCGATATGAATGAATACTTAACTACTTGTATAGATAGTCTCTTGCGCGAACGTCCTTCATCTGGAATTGTTATAGCTGGGGACTTCAATCAACTAAAATTAAGAGAACTATGTAACAGATTTAATTTAAAAAGATCCGTAACTAAACCGACTAGAGGACACAACATTCTTGATCAAATCCTTACAAATATGCTCCCTCTCTTTGACACTGTTAGCCATCTCCCCCCACTCGGACGCTCCGAC